GAAGGCAAAGAGACAAAAAGGAGTGCACACTGTGAGTGTTAAACTAACCACTGAAATGTTTCAGGTTCTTGCGCATGTTTCACCACTGTCAATACTGACCCTCTCTGCCTTAATTTTATACCTAAAAGGAATGTGGCAGTAATCAGTGGGGATGGATACCTGAGGAATAGTGTGTTCTTTGGCAATTGCTGATGTTCAGCAGGTAGTTGGTGTTCAGTCTGATAGCAGACAGCCCTGCAGTCCCACACCTGGGATTGCTGTCCAGGTTCTCCACCGTCCCAATGTAAAATGTAAATCAGGGTGACAATGCAGCTTTTGATCTTTCACTTGGGCTTCTGCCTAGGTTCGTGTTGGAGAGCAATCGTCTGGAAATTTCACCCCACGGTGTACAGGCTGGGTATTTTCTTCAGTATTAGGAAGACAGCAGTAAAAAGAAATTCCTGTGTTACTTGTGAATAGACCTGAGTGAAGAGGAATGTGGGGAACAGGACAAGAGCTGTCTATATCAGTAACCTCGGGATGAGTGAAAGCAGTCTGTCTATTTCACTATTGATTAGAAATCTTATTGTTCTATCATATTTAAGTGATAGCCTCAAATATTCCATCTCCTTTCCCAATTTGTTTTTTGGTTGACAGCTGTACTATTTATATATGCTGTGTGGGGCAGACTAGGAGAAAACAGGAAGGTAGAGGATCAAATGCCGAATGATGCTTTGCCTTTAGGAGACAGACGTTGTGCATGCCAGGGAGAATAAGCACGAAGCAGGTAGTTATTACCCTTGGTACACTGCAGGGGCAGATGAGCAGGGAACAAGGCTGTTGAGGACAAGTGGATCTCTATCATCTGCAGGTAGATTTTATGTAGAGGCAATGGTCTCCATCTCCTGCCCCTTGTTCCTCTTCCTTGTCAAGGGGATGAAGCTGAGCTCAGGGAAGGTAGAGCTGTGCTGTGCTGAATTGTTTTTTTGATTTGAAACTGAGTCCTCACATGGTGGTTGTTTAATTCTCAGGATCGGGTGGATTTTCTGCAGCTGATGATTGATTCTCAAGTAGCCAGTGTCAGCGCCGAGAAGCAGAACGGTGATGGCAAGTCAACAGAAAAAAGTACCATTCATTGAAAGCTTCTCATTGCTTTCATTCTTGTTTCTTTGTGTTCCTGAAATGAAAGTTTCCTTTTCAGTTTCTTTTTTGTTTGCTACTGTCTGGTCTTCTAGTTTTCCCATTCCCACCTGGCTGACCCATTCCATGCCCCTAATGATTCTATAAACTTCTATAAAGCCACCCCTCAGCTTCCTATGCTCCAGAGAAAATAGCCCCAGCCTATTCAGCCTCTCCCTATAGCTCAAACCTTCCAACCCTTGCAACATCCTTGCAAATCTTTTCTGCACCATCTCAAGTTGCACTACATCTTTCCTAAAGCTGGGAGGCACCTGCAACATGACCTCCCAACTCCTACACTCAATGCACTGACCAATAAAAGCAAGCATACCAAATGCCTTCTTTACCATCCTGTCTACCTGCAACTCCACTTTCAAGGAACTATAAATTTGCACTCTAAGGTCTCTTAGTGTGGCAACACTCCCCAGGATGTTACCATTAGGTGTATATATCCTGCCCTAATTGACCTTTCCAAAATACAGCATCTCACATTTATCTAAATTAAACTCCATCTGCCACTCCTCGATCCAACTAATCAAGGTCCCGTTGTTCTCTGAGGTAATTTTCTTCGCTGTCCACTACAGCGATTTTGGTGTCATCTGCAAACTTACTAACCATACCTCCTGTCTTCATATCCAGATTATTTATATAAATGATGAAAACAATGGATCCAGCACTGATCCTTGTGGCACACGCAGGTCATAGGTCTCCAGTCTGAAAAGCAACCCTCCACCACCACCATCTGTCTCCTACCTTCTTGCCAGTTCTATTTCCAATATTTTGACAAGATCTAACTTCTCCTGGGATTTTAGTTTGTTTTTGCTTACCCAAATGGGAATTGTCTGGTCCCTAGGTGTTTATTCTGCACAATCATGGGCCTGAAAGTGGGATCTGAATCCTATGTGGTGCAGGGAAATTGAGACACATATGATTTGTTCTCAAACGCTTTGTGACTGGGCACTGAAATTCCAGTCAGTACTATCCACACTTTAACCTTGTCAATGCTGACTGTACTTATTGAGCAGAAAAGTAGATTTGTACTGTTATTTTACTTCCAGTGGTCTCTTACTAAATTCTATCTAGTAATCTGCATCACCTACTCGGGGAGTACAGTATGTTAATGATTTTAAGCTATGCCTTAAATCAGTGCATCATTTAATTATTTGTCATCATATTTTTAAGCAATTTTAGGAATTTCTGGCATTGGAGAGCCAAAATTTTTATCCTTTGGTACTGTAAGGCAAAATTTGTGATAACACATATTCTAACTCTCTCTGCAGCTCTAACTGACTCAGAGATTCTAGCACAGGCCTTGACTTTTATCCTTGCTGGATATGAGACCACCAGCAACACACTATCATATACTGCACACAATCTGGCAACGCATCCGGATGTACAGAAGAAACTGCAGCAAGAGATAGATGAAGCTTTCCCAAACAAAGTGAGAACTTGCATTTCTATTGTGGTGATAATGACCTTGGGATCCCCTTTGCAGCAACTTCTGAATTGTAGTAACTGCTTTTTAAAAACCTTGCACGCATTAATCTGATGATAACTACTTACATTTTGTAGTAAGAACTCCCACGCTATTCAAAATCCTGCTTTGATATGTTTTATATCCATTTGAAAGGATTTTCGTTCAGTGTCTCTCATTTGGAATGCTCTGTACTGCATTCTTTTCTTCAGATGGTGAGTGCTGTTGGCAAGGCCAGTATTTGTTTTGATCTCTTAATTGCCCTTGAACTGAATGGCTGACTAGGCCATTTAATTGGGTAGTTTCAATGAACCACAGTTGTTGTGGGTCAGGAGTCATTTAGGCCAGACTGGTTAAGGTTGGTAGATATTATTCTCAAACAATCTTCCTATGTTATTGTTTTCCAGGATGGAATTAAAACCTCAACCTTCTGACTGAGGGGTGCTCTCCAGCTGAGACATAGCTGTTGTTGAGAGAGCTGTGATTGGTGGATCACTTTCTGAGTGCACCTTGGCAATGAGAAAACCTCAAATTCTGGGAGCCATTACTGGGGATAACAGTCCATGTTCTGCTTTTAATTTTGCATCATTTACTTCAAAGAGACATTCAGAGTTGTAGAGTCGTAGAGCTGTACAGCATGGAAACAGATCTTTCGGTCCAACTCGTCCATGCCAACCAGATATCTTAAATTAATCTGTCTCATTTGCCAGCCTTTGGCCCATGTCCCTCTAAACTCTTCCTATTCAAATACACATCCAGATGCCTTTTAAATGTTGTAATTGTCCCAGCCTCCACCACGTCCTCTGGCAGCCCATTCCATATACACTCCACCCACTGTGCCCCTTAGGTCCCTTTTAAATCTTTCCCCTCTCACCTTAAACCGATGCCATCTAGTTTTGGACTCCCCTACCTTGGGAAAAAGACCTTGTCTATTTACCCTATCCATGTCAATCTTGATTTTATAAACTTTATAAGGTCACCCCTTAGCCTTCTATGCTCCAATGAAAATAGCCCCAGTCTATTCAGCCACTCCCTATAGCTCAAATCCTAGCAGCATCCTTGTAAATCTTTTCTGAACCTTTTCAAGTTTCACAACATCCTTCCTATAGCAAGGAGACCAGAATTGAATGCAGTATTCCAAAAGTGGCCTAAGCAATGTCCTGTACAGCCACAACAGGACCTCCCAACTCCTCCTCAATACATTGATCAATAAAGGCAAGCATACCAAATGTCTTCCTTATTGTCCTGTCTACCTGGAGTTCCACTTTCAAGGAACTATGAATCTGCACTCCAAGGTCTCTTTGTTCAGTAACACACCCCATGACGTTACCATTAAATGGATAAGTCCTGCCCTGATTTGCCTTTCTAAAATGCATATATACCTAAATTAAACTCCATCTGTCACTCCTTGGTCCATCGGCCCATCTGATCAAGATCCCGTTGTATTCTGAGGTAATCTTCTTCGCTGTCCACTGCACTTGCATCTGCAAATATATTAACCATACCTCCTCTGTTCACATAATAAATCATTTATATAAATGAAGAAAAGCAGTGGACCCAGCACCAATCCTTGTGGCACACCACTGGTCACAGGTCTCCATCTGAAAAGCGACCCTCCACCACCACTCTCTGTCTCCTACTTTCGAGCCAGCTCTGTCTCCAAACGGCTAGTACTCCCTGTGATCTAACCTTGCTAACCAGTCTACCATTAGGAACCTTGTATGCCTTTATTGAAGTCCATATAGATCACATCCACCGCTTTGCCTTGATCAATCCTCCTTGTTACTTCTTCAGTAAACTCAATCAAGTTAGTGAGGCATAATTTCCCACACAAAAAGCCATGTTGACTATCATAATGGGTCCATGCCTTTCAAAATACATGTAAATCCTGTCCCTCAGGATCCCCTCCAACAACTTGCCCACCACTGATGTCAAGCTCACTGGTCTATAGCTCCCTGGCTTTTCCTTACCATCTTTCTTAAATAGTGGCACCACGTTAGCCACCCTCCAGTCTTCTGGCACCTCACCTGTGCCTATCAATGGTATAAATATCTCAGCAAAAGGCCCAGCAATTACTTCCTAGCTTCCCACAGAGTTCTAGGGTACACCTGATCAGGTCCCAGTGATGTATCGACCTTTATGCGTTTTAAGACTTCCAGCACCTTCTCCTCTGTATTTTTTGGACATTTTTCAAGATGTTGCTATTTATTTCCCCATGTTTTATATCTTCTGCATCCTTCTCCACAGTGAACACTGATGCACAATACTCGTTTAGTATCTCTCCATCTCCTGCGGTTCCACACAGAGGCGATCTTTAAGGGGCCCTATTCTCTCCCTAGTTACTTTTTTGTCCTTAATCTATTCGTAGAATCCCTTTGGATTCCCCTTAACCCTGTTTGACAAAGCTCTGTCATGTCCCCTTTTTTCCCTCCTGCTTTCCCTCTTAAGAATACTTCTACTGCCTCTATACTCTTCTAGGGATACACTCAATCCCTGACATATGCTTCCTTCTTTTTCTTGACCGAAGTCACAATTTCTCTAGTCATCCAACATTCCCTATACCTACTGGTCTTGCCCTTCACCCTAACAGGAACATACTGTCTCTGGACTCTCATGATCTCCTTTTGAAGGCATCCCATTTTCTAGCTGTCCCTTTACCTGCGAACATCCACCCCCAATCAACTTTTGAATGTTCTTGCCTAATACCATCAAAATTGGTCTTCCTCCAATTTGGAACTTTAACTTTTAGATCTGTCTATCCTTTTCCGTCACTATTTTAAAACTAATAGAATTATGGTCACTGGCCCCAAAGTACTCCCTGTTGCGAAGTTGAATATAATATTTGTGGATTGGGAGGCAGGACATTAGAACTTGGTATTTGTAAAATATTGATGTTTGTAAAATGCTCGGGGTGGAAAGCAGTATGTGGTCCCTTTAAAAGATTATGTGCTTTTTCTATGCTTAAAGATTCAAAATGGATGTCTGTGAGGATCAGTAGCTTGCAGGTGCATAGAGCACTCGAACTGAAACATTTGTATCAAAAGGCTGTATTGTTAGCAGGCAAGCCAGCATTTTTACCAAGACAACAGGCTTTTGGAGTTAGCCAATTAATTTAAACCAGACCCTTAGATATTAAAAACCAATTAAATTTAAATCTGATGGTTTTGAAAATATAGGGTCATCAAGGGTATAAAAGATGAGGGTACTTGGAAAATCAGGTGAGAGTCGACACTCATCTGCCAAGAGAACAGCTCTCAGTTCTAAAATAAAGAATCACTGGCCCTCACAGAATTCTCTAAGCATTGGAGTAAGCGCCCATCTAAATTAAAGGTGCCTTCGACACAAATAGTTAATCTTCCTGACAAAAGAATGAATAGGAGAAGGCGTTCTTGACAGCAGAATTCGTTGGAGAAGATATAGAACATTCCAGAAGATGTAGCCTGGCTGTAATTTCAAGAGACTATACTCTAATTTTTTAGTTAAATTTTATGTAAGTGGGACTTATATTTATTGGGACAACAGACCATTAGAATATTGTTTTATTCAGGAATAGTTCGTAGTTAGAGGGGAATTGTTTGGTTTGTTAATTGTTCGGTTAATTTGTTCACTGTTGGAATTAGATAAATAAATTGTTACTTGTTGATAATAGAGTGAGTGTCAGGATTTTATTTCATTTAACCACGGCTTTATAAGAGATTAGGGGTGATAGGAAGGCTATACCACTTTTTACACTTTTAACAGATTATAGAGTGAGATGAGTCTCTCAGGGTGTTTGAGTTTTTGTTATCAGAAGGGGGTCAACCTCTGTTATATAACATTCCCCACTGACATCCCAGTCACTTGCCCTTCCTTATTTCCCAAGAGAAGATCATGTTTTGCTAACTCTCTTGTAGGTACATCCACAAACTGAATCAGAAAATTTTTTGTATACATGGAACAAGCCCTCAACACTATGGCAGTTGTAGTCTATGTACACACACACACGCACACACACACGCGGTTTGACATTCTTGGGAATGCAATATCTGAATTCTCAATTAGATTTCTTTGTGATTATCTGATGTATGACCTTCATTTTGGTCTTGCCACTATTCATACATTATCTGTACTATTATAAAAAGCAGAAAATTATAAAAAGCAGACAAAATAGTGTAACTTTCTGAATTTCAAGAATGGCATGTTCTGTTTTTACTCCTTTGAAGGCTCCTCCCACATACGATGGAGTGATGCAGTTGGAATATATGGAAATGGTGATATCGGAAACCCTACGACTGTTCCCCCCTGCCCCCCGCATTGACAGAGTGTGCAAGAAAGATGTACAGCTTAATGGGGTAACCATTCCAAAGGGGACTATCGTCATGGTTCCTGCCTACGTGCTGCACCGTGATGCAGAATACTGGCCAGAGCCTGAAGAGTTTAGACCTGAAAGGTATTACTGCACTCTACTTGGTTAGGCTATTCTCACTGATTCTGCTGCATCTGTTTTTCTATTATCTAAGAGTAATTCATCTGAATCCTCGTAAGTGTTATAAACACTTTATTAACATGCTAATTTACAGAATACTGATTACCGCTCCCTCTCATCCAGTTCTAATCCTCTCTTGGTCAGTGGGGAGGGAGGGGCAGGTAGGTGGGAGGGAAGACGGACAGGTCAAGGAGGTGGGGACGAGATTGGCTGGTCTTGGGATGAGGTTGGGGGTGGGGAGATTTTGAAGCTTGTAAAGTCCACATTGAGACCATTGGGCAGCAGGGTTCCCAGGCGGTATATAAGGTGCTGTTCCTCCAGCCTTTGGGTGGCATCGTTTTGGCACTGGAGGAGGCCCACGATGGACATGTTGTCCAAGGAGTGGGAGGAGGAATTGAAGTGGTTCGCGATAGGGAGGTGTTGTCGTTTGTCACGAACCGAGCACAGGTGCTCCACAAAGCGGTCTCCAAGCCTCCGCTTGGTTTCCCTGATGTAGAGGAGGCCACATCGGGAACAGCAGATACAATATATCACATTAGCGGATGTTCAGATGAACATCTGTTTAATGTGAAAGGTTTTCTTGGGGCCTGGGATGGAGGTAAGGGGGGACGTGTAGGGGCAGGTGTAGCACCTCCTGCGGTTGCAGGGAAAAGTGCCGGAGGTGGTGGGGCTAGTGGGGAGTGTGGAGCGGATGAGGGAGTTGTGGAGAGAGCGGTCCCTCCAGAAGGCAGATAAGGGTGGGGAGGGAAATATATCCTTGGTAGTGGGGTCAGATTGCAGGTAGCAGAGGTGGCGGAAAATGATGCGTTGAATCCGGAGGTTGATGGGGTAATACGTGAGGACAAGGGGAATTCTGTCTTTGTTGTTATTGCGGGGAGGGGGTGTGAGGGCTGAGGTGCGGGAAACGCGAGAGATGCGGTCAAAGGCGTTTTTGACCACCGTGGAGGGGAAATTGCGGCCCTTGAAAAACAAAGATATCTGGGATGTCCAGGAATGGAATGCCTCTCTTGCTGCAAAGGGAAAGGAATTGGGAATAGGGGATGGCATTCTTGCAGCAAGGTGGGTGAGAGGAGGTGTATTCTATGTAACTGTGGGAGTTGGTGGGCTTGAAATAGACATCAGTTTCGAGGTGGTTACCAGAGATGGAGACAGAGAGGTCCAGGAAGGAGACAGAGGTGGCAGAGATGGTCCAGGTGAACTTAAGGTTGGGGTGGAAGGTGTTGGTGAAGTGGATGAACTGTTCGAGCTCCTCGTGGGAGCACGAGGCGGTGCCGATACAGTCATCAATGTAAAGGAGGAAGAGGTGGGGGATAGGGCCAATGTAGCTGCGGAAGAGGGATTGTTCCACGTATCCTACAAGGAGGCAGGCATAACTTGGGCCTATGCGGGTACCCATGGCCACTCCTTTTGTCTGTAGGAAGTAGGAGGAGTTGAAGGAGACCTTGACCTGTCCGTTCTCCCTCCCACCTACCCGCCCCTCCCTCCTCACTGACCAACCCCTATCCCAACTCCCTACCTACACTCACCTGTACTGGCTTCTCCCCGCCTCCTTGACCTGTCTTTTTCTCTCCACCTATCTGCTCCTCCATCCACCTTCTATCATCGCCTCCCCCTCTCTCTATTTATTTCAGAGCCCCCTTCCCCTCTCCCATTTGTGAAGAAGGGTCCAGACCTGAAACGTCAGCTTTCCTGTTTCTCTGATGCTGCCTGGCCCGCTGTGTTCATCCAGCTCCATTAGTCACTGGCTGCCATCTCTGACTTCTGCCAGTAAGCAAATCCTTATCCATGCCAGTACCTTGCCCTTAAATACACAGACTCTTATTTAACAGCCTTCCAGTGTGGCACCTTGTCAGAGGCCTTCTGGAAATCCAAATAGATCATGTCAACTGGTGCTCCTTTGTCTAACCTGCTTGTTACCACCTCAAAGAATTCTAACAGATTTGTCAGGTATGACCTCCCCTTGACGAAGCCTTGCTGACTCTGCCCTATTTTGCCATATACTTCCAAGTACTGCACAATCTCATCTTTAATGGACTCAGATTTTACCAATGACCACCGTCAGGCTAACTGGCTATAGTTTCTGTCTTCGGCCTCCTTGCCTCCTTCCTTTTAAACAGTGGTGTCATATTAGCCATTTTCGTGTCCTCTGGAACCCTCCTGACTCCAGTGATTCCTGAAAGATCACTACCAATGGCTGTACAATTTCCTTAGCTGTCTTGTTCAGAACTTTGGGGCATAGTCCAACCTTCAGACCTTTCAGCTTCCCCAGGACCTTCTCCTTCTGTGATGGCCACTACCCTCTGCCTCTGCCCTGACTCCATTGAAATTCCTGTAAGTTACCAGTACCTTCCACTGTCAAGACTCTGTTTTCCAGTCACCTGAGGATGCATCGATATCACTTCCATCTAAGCCAATTTGACAGTGGTCTCTTTCCCATATTTTGTTTTTGTCAATATAACTAGGTTCAGTAAAGAGAACAGGGAGTCTTGGGTTCCAAATACCTTCCTGCCATTTGGAATGGGCCCTCGGAACTGCATTGGGATGCGATTTGCTCAACTTACGATGAAGTTGGCACTTGCTTCATTCTTGCAACATTTGAGCATTGTGCCATGCAAGGAGACACCGGTGAGAACTTCAGCTTATAAAAAATTATCTGAAAGTGTGAATGTGTTCTTAAGTTGGATTTAAAAATTAAGTAGATAATGGGACAGTCAGGAAATTACAGCCTCATTGTTGGATACATAAAACTTTGCAGTCAAACCTTACCATTGCCCTCCTCACTATTGCTCGTTCTATTCCAGATCCCTCTAGAAATGGATGTGAAAGGACCCATGCATCCCAAAAAACCTGTAATCCTGAAATTTGTGCCACGGGTGAATGCTGATTCGAAGGAATAAAGCACTGGTCAACTTGGAACTGTTAAAATATTTAGGAGTGTGAATGCCTTGGACTAAAGAGAAATAGGTCATGTCACTGCAAATGAAATAAAAATAGATGGATAAACAAAAAGTCTCTATCATGACAGGAAACCAGAATTAAGTGGTGAGAACCTATGATCTTTCTCCAGTTGGAAAGGCTGAATGTTGAATGCTTTTAGAAAGATACAATAATTGATTATTCAATGAAAAAACATTGAAAAGGTAATATAGTCTAATTAGTAGAATGTTAAATGTATTTTTAAACCTTTTTGATATTTTAATGAATCATTTTGTGACTATAAACTATTTGGTAAATGGATGAATGTTGTTTCTAATGTACTAAGCGTTTTCTAGTGAAAACATTGGTCACAAATTTCTTATACTAATTGCACATTTTCACTCCTTTTTAGCAATTTTGTGTTTATAATTTTAAGAAATGCAATATGAAATTTTTGACTAGTTGTGTCTGAATTCTACATTATGGCAAATGAAATGGACCTGATAAATCCAGGGCTTGTAAAGCACAATTTAACCTGCACCCCGACCCACTGAGAGATGGCATGCAAATTTTATCCTGCCATTGCATCAATCTGCAGTGAAGGAATGGAATATGTTGCTGTCTGCCCCAGCAGCATTCATGGCCAGTATGATAGATGACTAGCCTGTAGCTCTTAATGCTCCTATAATGCCTGTAGTCAGGGATATGGCCAGTTCGTGGACTGTACCGTGATGCCTCTCTAGGCTCTTTACTCACTGTCAGTGCTCACTCACTTTGAACAAAAACAAAAGTTGCTGGAAAAACTCAGCAGGTCTGGCAGCATCTGTGAAGAAAAAATCAGAGTTAACGTTTCGGGTCTGGTGACCCTTCCTCAGAACCGGACCCGGATCCAAAATGTTAACTCTGATTTTTTTCTTCACAGATGCTGCCAGACCTGCTGAGTTTTTCCAGCAACTTCTGTTTTTGTTCCTGATTTACAGCATCCGCAGTTCTTTCGGTTTTGCTCACTTGCTTTGAGTCTATTTTGATGCTCACAGCATCACTGCTTGCCTCTTTTGCACCTTGCTATTACTGTTCATGCATGTGGAGAGGTGTTATGAATAAATAAGCAGCGCAGTGGGCATGCTGGATTAGTGGCATCGGGTTGTGGGGTTTATGAGGGCATGTGGGAAATGCTACAGGCATTGGTGGTGGAGGTGGAGCTTGAGCCGTGGTGGGTGGATTCAGTATCAAGGGTAGAGAGAGCGTGAGGTATTGGGAGAGAAAATGGTTATCGTAAATGATCTGTGCAGCTCCGTGACTGACTTTCTGCAACTCCCTAGACATTCAGCACTGGAATTGCACAATTGTGGCCCATTCCCTCCAGCCCTGATCACCTAAGTGATCAACTAGTCTTGTCCAACCTCTGGACTGATACTGGAAGCTGCCTTTGATTTACTGTGCGGGACCCTTGACTGAATGGCTGACTCCCATGGTTTGACTTCACCCTTGGGTGACTGTCTGTGTGGAGTTTGCACATTCTCCTCGTGTCTGCGTGGGTTTCCTCCGGGTACTCTGGCTTCCTCCCACAGTCCAAAGATGTGCAGGCGAGGTGGTTTGGCCATGTTAAATTGCCCATAGTCTTCAGGGATGTGGAGCTTAGGTGGTTTATAGGGGGATGGGTCGGTGTGGACTTGTTGGGCCGAACGGCCTGTTTCCACACTGTAAGGATTCTATGATCTATGATTGATGGCTACATCCAGTAGACATTGAGACAAAACCATTTTGTTGAAGCAGTATGCCTTGTATGCTGCTGGCACATTCTGCATTGTGACATTGATATAGCATGGTGTGTTCAGCAACATATCCACCCTTGACAATACACTTGGCAAGCTGCCTGTCTTCGTGTCTGCACTAAATGGCAAGGCCATACAGAAGTACTGTGAGTATCCAAGTAGGCACAAAGTGAGTGAGTGTTAAGAGAGCAAGCAAGAAACCCTGAGCTGCACCCAGTCCAGTCAGGGAGTTGATGGCTATCCCTGTGCACAACGTGTCCTGGTAGGAAGGAGCATTGCAATTCAAGATGCCAGTATGCTCCAAAGTGTTAGAAGGTAGATGCGCAATCTTTCACTGAATTATTACAGTCTTAGCAGAGATTGGTAACTTGTCGAAAAGTCATTTGAATTACTCGTCATAAACTAAAAAAAACCACACAACTCAATTCACATTTTAAACATACTTTTATTGTAACAAACATGAAAACAAAACAAAGACTCTTAATTTCACTCAGAACAACACAAGAGATAACACTTGCTTCTGAAAGACCAGTTATGAGGATAGTTAAATTTTAGTTAAATTGGAATGAAGGTTCACGAGCCTCCTAAATTGTAGACCTGAATTTCGGTGTGGCCAACAGTGATATTCTGATTGTCATGATAAATTATTTGAAAGTCTTTTACTCCAATCGTAAGAAACACAAATAATGGCAGGTTTGAATTGTTAATTGTTTGAATTTGAATTTAGGATATTTGAGGGGACTTTGATTGTTTAGTCATTTCAGTAATGTTGAAAAAATAATGTATTTGAAATCTTAAAAGAAATGCTAACAGATTTGGGAACAATGGGAGTTTATTCTAAAATTCTATCTTCAATGATGAAACTTTTTTTTGTTCTTTGAAATTATAATGTTACTAATTAAATAAATAATCTGTTGAAGGTGTCACAGTGGCTAAGGTCTTCGCTGAACCTGAATAAACTGCAAAGAGAATTAGGGAGTTGGGTTGGAAATTGAAAAGCAGGACCTCAAGAGTTGTAATCTCAGGATTACTCGCTATGCCATGTGCTCGTGAGGCCAGAAATAGGAAGATAATACAGTTGACTGTGTGGCTAAAGAGCAGGTGTCGAAGGGATGGCTTCAGATATATGAATCATTGCAATGTCTTCCAGGGCATGTGGGACCTGTACAAGAAGGATAGGCTGCACCTAAACTGGAGGGGCACCAAAATCCTTGCAGGGAGGTTTACTAGTGCCACTCTGGAGGGTTTAAACTAGTGTGGCACGGGGTGGGAACCAGAGCAGTAAGTCAGAAGTGAAGTGTTTGAAGAGAAGAGAGTGGCTAAGTCAAGTAAGTCCAGTACGAAGAACAGGCAGGGCCAAGTTAATGAACCTGGCAGGATTAGTGGTCTAAAGTATATTTATTTTAATGCAATGAGGATAATAGATAAGGCAGATGAGTTAACAGCCTTGATTAGAACATGACACTATGATGGGACAGCCATTACAGAAATGTGGTTGAGAGAAGGGCAGGACTGCAGCTCAATGTTTCAGGGTTTACATGTTCCAGGCAAGATAGAAAGGGATGTAAAAGGACTGTGAGATTTGCATTACTGATTAAGAGGAATGTCACAACTGTACTAAGACAGGACATCTTAGAGAGCTTATCCAATGAGTCCACGTGGGTAGAATTTAGAAATAGGAAACGTGCAATCTATGACGAAGTCATTACATAGGCCTCCCAATAGCTAGTGGGAGATGGAGGAACAGATATATAAGCAGATCAAAGAAAGTTGTAAAACAATGGGCTGTGATAGTGGCTTATTTTAATTTGGCCAATACGGACAGGACTCCTTAATGCTAGGAGCTTGGAAGGCGCAGAATTTGTTAGGTGCATGCAGGAGGATTCTTGAAACAATATGTCGATACTTCAACTAGGGAAGCAGCCCATTTTGGGAACAGTAAGTTTTTAAGATAGTTATAGAAAATGATAAGGCTGGCCAGAGTCATTAGAGATATACAGCACAGAAACAGACCCTTCGGTCCAACTCGACCATGCCGACCAGATATCCTAAATAAATCTAGTCCCATTTGCCAGCATTTGGCTCATATCCCTCTAAACCCTTCCTATTCATATACCCATCCAGATGGCGTTTAAATATTGTAATTGTACCAGACTCCACCACTCCCTCTGGCAGGTCATTTCCATATACACACCACCCCTTGAACGAAAAAGTTGCCCTTAGGTCCCTTTTAAATCTTTTCCCTCTCACCTTAAACCTATGCACTCTAGTTTTGGACTCCCCCACCCTGGGAAAAAAGATCTTGTTGATTTACCCGATCCATGCGCCTCATGATTTTATAAACCTCTATAAGGTCACCTATCAGCCTCTGACACTCCAGGGAAAATAGCCCCAGTCTATTTAGCCTCTCCCTATATCTCAAACACTCCAACCCTGGCAACATCCTTGTAAATCTTTTCTGAATCCTTTCAAGTTTCACAACATCCTTCCTACAGCAGGGAGACCAGAATTGCATGCAGTATTCCAATAGTGGCCTAACCAATGTCCTGTACAGCTGTAACATGATTTCCCGACTCCTATACTCAATGCACTGACCAATAATGGCAAGTGTACCAAATGCCTTCTTCACTATCCCACCCACCTGTGACCCCACTTTCAAGGAACTATGAAGCTGCACTGTCTCAGGTGAAAGTGATAAACTGGGAGGAGGCTACTTACAACAGAATTAAGCAGGAAAAATTAAACTGGCAGCACCTATTGGAAGGTAAACCTATGTCTGACATGTGGGAGTCTTTTATAAAAGCCAGTTGACCAGAATTCAAGACCAGTGTGTTCCTATAAAATGGCTGGCAAGGTTTGGGAATCTTGGGTGACAAGAGTTTAGTTTGTAAGTTTACTTAAGAAACAAAAGGAAGTACATGTAAGGTTTAGGAAGCAGAAATCAAACAAGGACCTTGTGGAGCATAAAGGAAACAAAAATAAATGTAAAAAGAAATTAGGAGGGCTAGAAGGGGCCATGAAATATCCTTGGTAAGTAGAATAAAGGAGAACTCCAATGCATTGTATACCTATATTAGGAGCAAGTGTAACTGGGAAAGGGTAGGTCTAACTCAAGGACAAAGGAGGGAATTTATGTGTGGTTCCAGAGGAAGTGGGTGAGCTACTAAATGAGTACTTTGCATCACTACTCAAGGAGAAAGACATGGATGACATTTACTGTTAAGACAATCAGGCAGTTGGAAACAAACAGTGATGCAATGAATGAGTCACACAATTCATGTGGAAACATGCTCATTTACTCTTGAAATCAGTTGCTCATCTAAAACCAAGCCGAGGGGTAAAGTGAAGCAACATGTTCCAGACAAGCATTTTATTCTGCTCTGTTGGGTATTGCACCTTTGTATTTGGAGAGGCTGCTCCTCAGTTTCTGAACTTCTTTAGTCTCTCACACCCCTGATCGTTGGCCACCTACTGTGGGGTTGGGGTGAGTGCAATAGGTAAGTTGGATGTCTCACACCAGGCTTGGACAAAATGATCATCCACTGCCCAGGTTGATAACAGCCTCTGGAAAATGGGCAGTCTGATGCCCATGTCTCCATAAGACCATAAGGCATAAGGAGTACAAGTAGGCCATTCAGCCTATTGAGTCCACTCCAGCATTGAACGAGATCATGGTTGATCTGAGAAGTCTCAACCCGGCTTTCCTGCCTTTTCCCCATAATCCTTGATCACCTTCCTGATTAAAAACTTATCTCGTTCTGGCATATACTCCATAGTTCAGACTCAATAACCCTTTGTGCTAAAGAATTCCACAAATTGACTACTGTCTTCTGTGCTGCTGGGCTTTGCAGCTTTTATTCATTTAAATAATATTCAGTTCCTCTATTCTACCTGCAGAAGTTGCATGACCTCACATCTCCCCACAGAATATTCCATCTCCAAGGCTTTGCTCACTTGCTTAACCTGAACACATTCCTCTGCAGACATTTTCTGTCAGCCGTTGCTTGCCTTCCAATATTTTTGTCTCATTTACAAACTTGAATAAAGTACATTCATTTTTTTCACTCATTCACAAGATGAGGGCATCACTAACTAGGTTAATGTTTATTGCCTGTCCCTGATTGTCCAGAGGGCAGTCAAAAGTCAACCACATTGGTATGGGTTTAGAGTCACATGTAGGCCAGACTAGGTAATGATGATAGTTTTTAATTATAGATTGCAAATTATTCTGGCCCCAGCACTGCTCCCTGTGACATCCAAATAGTTACAGGGTGCTATCATGAAAATGTCCCCCTTATCCCAACTCTCTGTCATCTCATAGTTAGTCAAACCTCTATCCAAGCTAATTTACTACCTCCAGCACCATGAGCACTTAGTAAGTAGCCTAATATGTGGCATCTTATCAAAAGCCTTTGGAAAATTCACATATATTACATACTGCTTCCCTGTTATCTATCCTGTTTGTTACCTCTTCAGACAATTCCTGTACATTTGTCAGACATGATTTTCCCTTCATGAAGTTATGCTGACTCTGATTGAACATATGCCGTATTTCTAAATGTTCTGCTTTTATATCCCGTTTAACATAGACTCTAATATGTTCCAATAACATAGTTAAGCTGGTTGGCCTGCAGTTACCTGTTTTATTTCTGTCCTATTCTCTTTTTAGATTATGTTGCAAGAGTCTTCTCCAGGGGAAGAAACACAGTATCTACCCTGCAGGATGGTGGGCACACAGGGACTAGAGACTGTAGTCAATGCATGGACACATGTTTGCTGCCTTTTGTATGATTTGGGTTTTATTAATTGGGCATTTTAATGAACTTGGATGAATCAGATGTACAATAAGCTAGATTAAAAGAGGCACCTTGTTGGCACGCGATCTTTCGTCACCTCACTTTGCAAAGTTCAACTGCAGGTACTATCGGGGACGAGGAAATTTTGCAGCATTTTGTCACCGGTTGGTGTTTGTGTTTGAACTCTGTGTGTTTGTGTGTATGAGGTGGGGGAGAGAGGGAGGGAGCTCTCCTCAGCCTCTGACCCCACTCACCCTGCCCTGGGAATCGCTGCTGATTGCGGGGCGTTTTCCCCTCCTGCTGCCCCCAGCCCTGTGGTTCCAGGCTGGAGCTGGATGAAAGCGGCGGATTCCAGTTTGGGATTTGGTTTATTTTTGGGGGTGGAGGGAGGTGATAGAGAGAGATAGTCTGACCAGGGATACTGAGGGATGCGAGTTTTCAATCATTTCAGGAAGGGTCTGACCCAAAGGAGATTGACGCTACACTGCAACCTCTGGAACCAACTTCTCCGTTTAGGACGAAGCTGACTCGATTGGGATTTTATTTTGAGAGAATATTAATGTTCCCATGGATTTTAACCCTGCCAGGAATTGAATTTGTTTTAGAGAAACTGGGAAATGGCCATACTTTTTTTCCAAGTTTCCACTTTAGAACAAAGGTGAATCTTGGTAGGTGAATGTGAAACTCTGCATTTACTCGACCATGTCCTGAAGCAAACCAGGTACTACAGCCACATCACCTTTCTTAGTACCTGCCTACGGAACCAGATCATCCCCAATGGACTACAGTCCCCTCTTTGACCTGTCTGTTTCCTCTCCACCTATCTTCTCCTCTATCCATCTTCTATCCCCCTCCCCGTCTCTCCCTATTTATTTCAGAACCCCCTTCCCCTCCCCCATTTCTGATGAAGGGTCTAGGCCCGAAACGCCAGCCTTCCTGCTCCTATGATGCTGCTTGGCCTGCTGTGTTCATCCAGCACTATACCTTGTTATCTCAGATTCTCCAGCATCTGCAGTTCCTACTATCTCTGATAGAAAATTTGGCGTTTGTTTTGGGAGACCGAGCTGGGGCCTTGATTTGGACAGTGACTTTAGTTCACATTTTGCACAAGGCACCCTCTCAGCAAAGAA